TCGTGCCTTTTCCGACGGGCATTTCTAAGACATTCGAAAAATAAGTCAACAGCCCCTGGGTGTAGTAGTGCAGAGAATAGCCCTGCAGAGAATATACTTCTAAATTATCATGAACTGTGCCTTCAAGATGACCATCTCATGACAGAATTGGATATTTACTCGGAAGGCAAGCGAGAAGTCAAGAAGGACATGAAGGCACAAGATCATGTCTGTTGCTATCACGGGAGAAAATGAAGTTCCTTCCACGCACCGTATCGCATGACGGTTTTCGCCATGTTCTACGACCTTTTTTCCATAGCTTGTGAAACTGATTGATAGTGGGTAATGGCATAAACCCACTAAAAGTAAAATTCACGATCTGGTTTAGTTTGGGTGGAATATTACATAGTGAGTTGAGCACGCCGGCCGGGTTCAGACGCCTTAGCACTTTGCCTTTGCAAGGAATGAACGAAAATGATTTACTGCCTACAAAAAACATCGGATATATGACACAGCGGCGAAGTTCCGGCTCTGTGTAGAGGCAGTGGAAGAGAAGGTGAAGCCTTCAGGAAAGAAAGCATCGCTAAAATCCAGGCTAAGAAGAACTAGAACCGATAAAAAGACGAGTAATCTCGATGAAAGCCGAACGGGATCATGGAAGGCCCTTGAGAGCTCCTCTGAATTAAGAAGTTAAGCGGAGCATGAAGTCCGTGGTGAGTTCCAGTTCGATCCGTAGTGGGTGTGACGGCCTAATGAGGCACGGTATAACGTATCCGGTCTGCTCTTATCCTCGTCACTTTCCCCATCTTTCCCACTAAAACTGGTCAATTAGTGAGTTTAAAATCTACGGTTAGACTCATGACTGAAAACTCTGGGAACTTATCAGTGGCAGGTGCCAATAAGCGGTTCATTCCTAATGGCTTCGGTAGGAGACCCAACAGATGCCAAGGGGTTACGTCCCGTAAAAGGTTCAATTTAAAAGCAGTCATCACCGCGGAAGTGGAAGCGACTAAGTTACCATTTACGGAACTGCGAGAGAACTTTTATCGCAATTCGACAGCTTTGCTGTTTTCTGAGACCTGTATGGGCCAACAAAGCACTTCTTGACAGATCTACCCCCTTTTCACTCTACCTCGATCATCACCTGATTCTCATATGAGGCCGCTAACAGTGAGTTGTGAATGCCAACATAGACAGTCCAGGGTTTTATTCTCCCACGAAATTCTGCCACCATTTGGCAGAACCCTGAAAGAGGGAACACTTGGTTGCTCCCAGGGGAGTTTTGGTTTTGATTTCATCCTTAGACTACACGTGTGACAGTCCTCGATTTGGCACTATATCAACTAAGACATAATAGCCTAATAAATTAGTGAAAACGGGCATTGCGATGATCATGAATTTACGATTTTCTATGGTTTTTATAGATAAAGGCAAAAGTCAGAGCCGGGCTTTGATGGATGCTCAGCGGATTTTCATTGGAATCGATATTAGTAGCATGATTGGGCTTTCAAAGTAATACTGAAGCCCAATAACAAATAAATAAACATAGAGAAAGAAAGAAACAAGGTTGCTGATGGCCAAAATCCAATGCTAAACTTACAGGTCACGCCTAATCCCAGTATCGGCACTATGGTTAGCGTTGTGTGTAGTTCAAGATAGGTACGTAATGCTGGGATTCAAGTCCCGGGAGGTGCTGGAAGCGCGGCGCCTTTTTTCTTAGAAATTCACTCGAAAGAGGCCCAGAAGTGGAGAAATAGAAATCAAAATCTCCGAAAAATGTCTGTTCTGTGAAGCAGGTGGAACATTTTGGGAAAACCGCCCCTATGCTGGGAATATATGCAATGTCGTCTAGATCTAATGCTTCACATAAGTAAGGCATATACAGTAACAGATTTCAAAGCGAAACCTGGAACGGCTGGAAATATGTACTGATAATGAAAGCGATGACTTCAGTCAACTGCGAGAACCTGGTTCTTCATTGCCTTTGCCGTATTCTGTACAATTTTGAATTTTCTAAAGAATGATATGTAGAGTTTTTGAGCATCAGTCAATCCCATCTGATGGATGTGCCGACGCATTCGACTTTCATTCAGAATCGTAGTGGCGTACTGAATGCGTATGAGGCCTATGTAACGACTTGCGTTGGCCAGCCGACACACAAGTCAGTGCTTTTATCCTCCCAGACTGGTCTGGTACCAATTAACTGGCCCCGGAGCGATCTAAGGCTCGATGGACCTAAGGGGACTTTAGTACGGGATTCGAACTCGTGACCGTGCGTGTGTGACAGTGCGCAACTTGCCATTACACCACCTCCTCCTTTTCAAAGACTTCAATATGTAAATTTGAAAAGAAATCGTGTAATTTTCATTCTATAGGCATACAAATCTGCCGAGAATACTCTCTTTCTGGTCAGAAAAGAAGACTTTAATAAAGATGAGTTACAAGAGACCTTTTGAAACGATTTGGAAAAGCTGGAGAGCTGTAGTTAATATTGTTATCTGAGGATAAAGACCCGCTTCGATTAGTCGAGTTCACATAATACTCAATGAGTTATATGAATAGAAACAATTCTTCGAAGTTGCGAAGAGTCTAAAGACGTGCCGCCAGCTTAACACCGGATAGGGATACGTACAAGAGTGAAAAGGAGAGCCGCTGATAGATCTAGGACAGGAATCATGAGAGAACCGCTTGCGATGATAGTGAAAACTCGATGCGTAACGGGATCCAAGTCGCTCTCTCTCAATAGACACTTTCGATGATGATCACATAGTGCGAGTGTGGGCGTAGACTGTGGACAGGTGGGTTCGATGATAACCTCCGTGAAATTGTTGTAGCGTGTACACCAAGGGGTTCTGCAAAAACGTGACGTCTCCGGATTTGTCTCGATCACAAATTTCGGAAGTTTTTCTGGCAGATTTTCTCTTCAGTTTTCCTCCGATAGCAATCTGAGCGTGCAATTTCAGTTCGATCTGTTAATGGAGTTCAGAAAGCGGTAACACTTCGTTCTAGATGATGCTAATATCTCGGCGACCTTGGTGATCCTGGAGGCGATGGAGAACGCAATATCATTTTATTTTCCCCCTCAACCGGCTACGATAAAAAGTTTCACTCATGTAACCCATCCAGCTCATTGTTTGTTGTTTAGAAAGGAAACGAGAGACGGGATAATAGAAATGGTTTTGTGTAATCGATCCGCCGCACGCGGCAATCGCGTAACATTTGCCTCATTATAGTAGTTCTAGCGATCTGATTTGCATTAATCCGTGCTAACTTCTCTTTAAGCTGACTTTAGTTGACCGCCTGACCAAACGCCAATCGTATGCCGCACTGACAACCACGACATCTATCAAAAATCGCGGGGTGATGCGCCGCACGCGACGGCTGCAACGTGACCTAGTTCCGACGGACGAGCGCAACGAAGCGCCCCCAAAAATTACCTGGCCCTAGCAGTTATATCCAGCTTGCACTGAACTATTTTCGAGCGCATTTGAAATGAATGTTTCTAACTGCTTCATTCTCGGGAATAATCTGACAGCAAAATGCGGTCCGCACCGATCCTAAAGCTGGGATTGGGTGTAGTACAGTACGAGTAATTTTGGGAAATTTTCATCAAATGCGTACGAATACCTTCACAAAATAATGAGAAAGGTATACATCCATTCAAAGCCTGAGCTAAAAAAGAAATGACTAGTACAAAGTCACCAATAATTACAATCGTGTTAAAAAAACAGCAGTCGCCGGGCGAAGGACCATTCAAAGCACTAATAATACAGAACTTCGGATAAACAAAATTAATAAAGACACTCTACAATAACTCAAACTCGTAATGAAGAAAAAGAACGGGGTTGACAGAATCATGCACGGGTTCGATATGCAGCATCCGATGGGATGACCCGTTACGGACGTTGACACACGGTTTGTGCCACTGCTAATACGACAAATAAGTAAATAATCACTGCTCATTGAAAACAAACAAGAGATGCAGCATAATTAGCACCTGAGATCATTGCAAATGTATGTTAAGTACACGGAAAATAAGTCTATTAATTGGAATTTAGTGATTGTAAAGCAGTACCAAGATGGTTAATTCAGTTAAGAATCTCAACAACACAGTGATAGCATGAAGTTATACCGGGAGCAAATGACAGTGTATAAGTGAATATAGAGCAATTAGATGAAAATGATTGCCAGTTCACAGCAGTACGACCATCTGGGAAGCAGCAATAGGCTGACACCATGGCAAGCAAAAATGCGATCGCAATTTACACATCGGGAAATTTAGTTTCAGATAAAATGAAGTACTGGCCGGCAGTGCCTGGGCTATATCTAGTAGTTTACTACTACAAAAGGTCTACTAATCTTCCAAGTGAAGCACTCCCCGACCTATTTCAAGCCAAAATAGCATAAGTTATCATTGAAAACGGCCATGACTCGGTCGTTTCCATCTATTGTGAGGTTTCGAATGTCACCACAAATAAAGTACTACCAAGTCTTTTGTGTGGAACTCTATCAACACTTCGAAAAAGAGGAGCCAACAAGTAGTTGCCAGGCATACTTGCTCAAGTACTGCTGCCTCACCTTGCACCAAAATTGGCAAACCTCAACCGTTATCGGGTACCGATCATGAGGAATCTGGTCACTGAAGGTAACAGTCATCCCACAAGCTTTAAAAATCAAGTCGACCCTGTTCAGTAATGATAAACCCTCACTGGCAGGAAAATATATTAAGGAAATCTTTGCAAGAAAAGCAGCTTCGCACAATAGATTGATATGAGCACGTTCAAACTATCAAACTAAATAAAACTCTAAGGCTTTACGCACATCATGATATACGCACAGCAAAACAGCAGAAGTTGAGAAGGGCCGTTCTGGCAAACCAAGTTCACATACCGTATTCGTCGAAGGATTTTAGAGTTGCATTCTGAACTGTTCACCTCCAACATTATAGCACCAGGGAACGCTGTCCTTGTCATTATTGTTCTTTCTATCATGAATTATTCTCTCCCACTAGAGCTAGATACTCATAAATCTGGGAATCTTGTTGGATCTTCGCGATACGATGCCGGCACATAAAAAATCTTGTCCGAGAGATTAGTCACGAATTGGAGTTTTTGAAAAGTGACTTTGGCCGATATAGTAGGCAGTAGAGGAATCTCTGGAAAAACGAACATTCACCTCTACAAAACTCTGGAGTTCAATGCGTAATAAAAGGAAAAATGTACAAAAAAGTATTTTACGTTTTCTTAGTAAGTACTAGCTTTGTGTATTCAGAAACAATAAAAAAAGTGAAATGAATGAAGCCACATCACTAAAATGCCGCCGCTCAGATGGCAGTTTTTTTTAAATCAAAGCTGGTAACATAGACTGATCGGTAGAGTGAAATCCTTCCATCCTCAAGACCAACCATAATGCGCTAGTCACCTTTTCTAGGTACCCCCGTTAGAATAAAAACTTTATCTCTAAGATATGAAAAATACATGTATCAGCTTCTGAATTCGGAACTTTTACAAAAAAAATACACTAAATATAACAAAATCAGGTGACGTACCTACTCGTACAGGAAAACCAGGTGGAAGTCTTGCTTCACAAAAACGACGCAATTTATCGAGATGCTTGAAAGGTGCGACAATTTCAAGAATATCGAGAAGAACATCAACTCCCATGGGAAAATCTTCACTCTAAAAACTTTTTTTTATTCTAAGGAAAGCAATAAGGAAACAATATTGTTGTTACCGATCCTTTGGGGAGAGAACCACTGCAGAGAACTTACCATTCCGATAAGGGCAGTGAACTGTTTCTCATTCTGTTTCAAGATTTGAGCTCTTCCAAGAGGTGGTGCTGCACCAGGGGCTGCACCCACATATTCCTCCCATGTCGTTGGCATTCGACCTGGTGGTGCCAGTGACTTCCGATGTTGAAGGCTCTGCTCAAAAACATCGATTAGGGACATTGGCAAAGAAAGTTCAGACATTAAGTCTAAGCGGAATTGAAACTCAGTGAAAGAGAAGAACGTGGAAGCGAAGAAAAGCGGATCAAACCATGAAAAGACTACCTTGAAATCCTCATCGCCGACAGCAGCACCGCTTGCCAGTGATTGCATGAAAGATTTGTTTTTCTTAATATCATCAGCCGTCAGATGTTCACGTCTCTTGCGAGACACCAACTTCATTCCCTCCACCAGATAAAAATTGACGTTATAGTCACCAATTTGCTCCTAAAATTGAAAACGGTTGCACAGTGCTCCACGACCGTTGAAACACATCATTTTCCAAACCGGTTCCGAACAACCTCATTACACCAGTAAGAAACTATTAGTTCTGATGTCAGAAAAAGAGGATAGTAAAAAAGGGTATACTACAAAAAAGGGCCGCGGAATGAGCACGACTACAGGAAAGTTGACAGGTGACCGTGGGATACTTGCGGCTTGCGCGAATCACGCGGAACCTAGTCTTTCGTACTCAACTATCGGGGGAACAATATCACGACCTCAATGGCTGACTTGCTGAGCTTGTAAAAAGACAAACAGTTGAGCTCCCATGTAACGAAAAAGGACAGGTAAATATGAAATGTGGAAAACCAAAAACGCCATCAATGTCAATATCGCGCACCATAGAGAAAAAAAGAATTTAGTACCTCTCTTGCATGTTTGAAAACCCAGCCAGAGAACGCTTGTCGAAACGTGATCGTTTTCGTTGACATCTTAAATATTTCAGATCAAGAAAGACGGAAATCGAAGTGGCAAGCTTATTCAAAACCTACCTGCGCTGATACAATATCAGACGACATTAGCACATCTACTTCTTCATCTACTTCAGCCTCGGACTCGTCATGGCGTACTCGTTGAAAAACCTAGAAAGGGAAAGATCTTTCGATGGAATTGAGGAAGGAAGTAATTGACTGCTGCGCACGAGCAAATTTTGCGTTCGATGTATTGAGCTGATTCATATGGAGCATTAAGTTTCATTCAATCAATTCAATGGATCCAACAGCGCTTTGTAATCGCAAAAGTATCAGTGTTAGAGAAAAAAAGACAATCAAGGTCTTATCCAAATTTCTTCTAGAGCATAGGCACGATAAGGCATTTTGGTAGCATGTTTAGACAATAAAATCACTTAGGCAAAAAAAATGAAGGAACTGAAAACAAGTTTGAATTCTAACAAAGGCATTGCAATCCAGCATCCCTTTCTTGGAAGCGCATTTGGCCTGAGTCGTAAGCACAGCTTCACAGAAGTAAAACTAACTTTTCTCTTCTCGACAAATTCTATTCGAAATTTCGAAAAGGTAAAAAAATATGAAACATATTTTACAATTGAAATTTTATCAAATCATAGCTGAATAAAGCCTTATCTTTGCAATTTGAGCCCTACTAACGTTACTATACTGCATATGCAGAAATAAGGAGGAAGCTAACCTTTGAATTGTTATCCATTATGATGAGCTCATCACACTCGTGTTTAGCCTTTGCATTGAAAACAAAAGAAATATCACCTCGCTCCCATCGCCGTTCGCTGAAAATTTACAACTGAGAAAAGAATTTGATACTATCAAAAGGGTTTTGAAATAATAATTCTAAGAAATCTCCCAGCAATTCCAAGCTCAAACAATACACCTACTTGAAATCAGCCAGTGTTGTGTCCATGCGCAACTGGGTACCTTTCTTGTATATCTGGCACACGTCAGATGGAAGCATTCGCGAAAGTAGAGGAACTGAAAAGAAAATTGAATAAATCCAAGAAACACAACAGAACTGATGTCTCACAACTCACTCCAACTTTGAAAGTCCCATTTCAGCTCGAGGTAAAAATCACCAATATCCTCCAACATTTTGATAAGATGCGCCTTACGGCTGGACAACCCCATGCGGGATTGTGCTTTCAATTTCCGCAACATTTCCGTTACTAAATTCACCATCTCAATTACATAATCACATTTAAAACATTTATAGAAAGAAAATTTTCCATTACCACACTCGATTCAATTTAAAGCGAAGTTAATATGTATGTGTTCTGCATTTGAGCACAGAATGAAAAAGTAATGCCAAAATACTGACTTATCTGCCTGTCGCCGTAACTGACGGCTTCCATTAACGGATTCCATCCATCACAGTTTTTAACCTTTACCGGTGCGTTATGAGCCAATAGTAGCGCAGTGGCCTCTGTAAGAAAATATTACTGAAAAAAGTTGTTAGTAATGCTGTGCTGTGCTTGGACAAGGATTCAAATTTGAGAAGAACCATGGGCAAGCACAGCAATATTCAAACTTGAAAGAATTTAAACTCGTGATTAGCATTAAAAGTTGAAATAAAAAAAAANAAAAAAAAACAAATTAAACGCATAACAAAGAGCGAGATGTCCCCTGGTTTATGCTTAGGACACTAACGGTAGCGAATTTTTTTGCGTTTCACTTTTCCGTTTACTGTTTGAACCTCCTTGAGGAGCTAACAACAAATTCTTGATAGAACTAAGATTGCGAGAATCGTGAACGAAAGCTCTGAACAACTACAACTTTCACGTAACCTTCATAGATTCCCAAAAAATACAGCGAGTATCCAACTAATAGCGTACAAATATCCTGCCCAGAAATTCAATAATTTAGTTGTAACGAAGAAACGAACCTCGATGACCAAGCATTGTTGAAATGTGAAGTGCTGTATTCCCGTGCATATCCTGTTCGTATAAGCTACGACCTAAACATTAACAATAAATATGCAATGAATACCGTGAACTCGGATAAAGACGTCGAAATGGATAGTCAGTAACATGCATTGAATAACTTGCCCGCTTTGATGAGCTGCGAAATCGACTGCACATCATTGAAAAACGCTGCTTTATGCAGCGGAAAGGTCTCCAAGTCCATGGCTGTCATTCCCTGTAAAATGTATTCACTCCCATTCGTATATGGGACAAAACATGATGGGCGTTGACGAGAAATACCAGCAATCCAAAGAACGGTATGCGAAATAGTCGAAACCAGTTTCGCCACAAGTACAGCAGTAAATGGGTAAAAGTGCACAAACAACAATGAACAAAATACTAATTTTTGTTCTCACAGAACAGGTTGCTCAACTGAAGGTTACCATAGTGAAATACATCACATAAAGTATTATAACATAGTTTGAGTATACCACAAAAGAAAAACGGCAAGGCGAAAAAGGGGACGGTTGGGATCAAAACTGCTCTGGAATGTACGAGCTCTGTACTTTCCAGAGGCTACGTACAGAAAAGTATTTAGTTGAGTGGACAATAAAACATTTATAATAACGAAGGCTCAGAAACAAGAAAATATATAGAAATCCATTGTTTTTAAGAGAGCAAGCAGCCACGCTTTGGAGAAGATTGAATTATGGATTCGATAAACCATCAAAAGGTTGACTATTTCTCTCCCGTTTTCTATCTTTTCCCCAAGAAATATAGATTTTGAATAACAAATCCTTTCTAAAAAGCAGGAGCAACAGAGATAATAAGGTTTTTGAGCAGTTCAAAAGTAAGCCTGTAAGACTACCCAAATTGGGGCCATGGACGTGCGGAAGGAGAGGTGTACGTGTCCTTTAAGCGCCCTACTTATCCCTCGTCCTTCATGCTAATCAAGAACTGCTGGTGTTAAACCGACGCGAAACAGAGCATGAGTAAGCTTTACATTCATTTTGGAGCATTCTGTTTCTGGTCCCTCAATACAGATGCTTTGTAGAAACTATGGAACAAAAAGAAATATACACAAACCTGCAAGATAATCAAATTATCCTACCATCGGTCTCGGAACCGTATTCAACTGTGGGTCTCCGTGGCCTTATCAATGATTCCCTACACTTTTTTCAATCCTAGGAAGAGAAAATGTCGAGGAAATGACTGAAATAAAGCAATGCTTTTCTGTAATCAATAGAAAAACGGACGTAAGGGATGTACTTTGTGTTGGTTGCAGCACAGGCCTCGATCAGATACAAGTTGTGCACGCAATCTATTTTGAGGAAAAAGAAAAAATATAAAACTTATCGACACCCTGAAATTGGGGTAACTAATTCGAACTTTTCAGAGTATGAAAAAAGAAATCAAAACGTGTGAAGGGTAGTGGCCATAATGAGAGTTGCTAGCTTCCTTGACAACCATTACAAACTCCCACTCCCTTGTCCTTTACTGGATGGGGCCATTACACGCCTTTTTGCACTTTCCCATATCTGGCCTTTACCAAAGACACCTGACACATGCCTTCCCCTATCGGAAAGAGTATCATCCTTTTCTGCAAAAAGAAAATTACAATTATGAGTACGTTGTAATAAAATATTATAAATGAAAACGGACGCTTCCCCTGCTATTTCCCCTGTCGAGTAATAATAGAAAGGTGGAAAGAAGACGGAAAGAGAACACATTTATGTTTTATATCTACAAGAATGAGGGGAAAAATAGGCTCTATCAGTTTGCTTATTTATAACTACAAATATATTCTAACCAAATACAGACATTTTTTTAGTTGTTTACTTAGTAGCACAAACAAGAAGACCCATGGATGCTTGACGCTGTGTTCCCCGAATTGAGCCCAAACCCAAACGCAACCCCATTGGTCGCGATGGTCCACACACTTTGTCACCTTAACCCTGGTACCCTTTTATTCTCATGGAAACCTCTACTGCATGAATAGGATCGACAGAATTCTGAAATCATGAATGCATAAGGCAGCAATAGTTTTCAAAAGATTGACAAGGTCGAGGAAAAGAAAAGGCCTGAGAGAAGTAAAATAGCTCTTTCGAGCTTTTACAGTCTTTTTTGGCATGGTTAAGGCCGTGAAGAGAAGTTATCGTCAATTTCAAACTCCCTGGCGGCAGACCGACAAAAAGAAAAAGAAATCGAAAAGCTTCCGACACAATGGCTAACCTCTCCCATTGACACCGAAAAGCCGGCGTAAGATAAAATAGCCTTCACATTTTTAAAAAGCTTTTGCAAGCCGATAGATAAATTCTTGAAATTTCATATTGATTCAAACACAGCGATAGGATGACTCAATGGAAATATAGAGGAACACGACACGCAAAAGGGAGCGATAATCGTTGGGAACAAATAGGGAAGGAGGGGGGGGGGGTTACTATTCTTACCGGGCGACCAACGACTTTCATATGAAATCAGGAAACCTGTAGAAAAAATATCTCCATCAAATCCACGCTGTACCGCTTTTGGAAAAGATTCCAGTACTTCAATATTTGCTGTTGACTCAATTAAATGAATTCAAATTCGAAGAGTTGTCCTAAATGAAAATATAGAAAATGAAAGAGGTTAAATACACTCAGGCTATGCAAAGTGCGATTAAATAAAGTAGGAAAAGTAGACCGTATAAGAAATGGCTGCTTAAAGGGAGCGAATTGATTTGTGCGAGCAAACACCTCCCATGCACAGCTGATTGATTCGCTTTTTTCTCACATTACCGCCCACCAATTTCACCGTGACTCAACGCACGAAGCGTCTTTACATGTAGCCGAAACTTTAGAAACTTTTACTTCTCCTAGAAATGTTAGTAAAGTACTTGATCATAAGTTTTGCTCAAGGGATTTGTTTATTTTGCTGGTTTCATTGCTTTAAATATGTGAAAAGTGAAATTATAGCAAGTGTAAGAGGATTGTGTGTTCACGGAAAATGTTCTAACATTCCGTTACAACTATTATTTAGTGTTCAAACTAAAGAGATAGTACTGTAAATAACCCCCATCAATAAGAATAGTGAACGACTTGAAAATTAGAAAATGATAAAAACATACAATAAAAACAATAAGAAAAAATATTATTAAATGTACATAAGCAAGCCCGTAACAGTGATAAAAAATGAAACCAAAAAGAAAAAGGTCCGTCTACCTCTTCACTAGACAGACCCGGATACTCTTTTCCCAAGGTTCATCAGTGGTTTAGGGTTAAGAAAGGGTATGGGTAAAAACGTGATAAAATTCTGGTCATAAAAAACCAAAAAAGGAGATATACGTCAATTAAGGTCACGCTACATGAAGAGGGCACGGCAAATGAGAAGGTCGTGTCTTGAGGAAAGACTGAAAAGAAAGATCAGCGGAGCATGAAAGCTTGAGATACTGCCTGAGTGGCCTACAGTACTTTACACTTATTATTCAAGGGCACAACGTGAAATTAGGACAAACAACTTAAATTACTTGATAACGGCGAAGGAGAAAAAGATTTGAGTGTTTGGGCGTCTATTAATCCCGTTAGAGGGATGCGCCCCCGCTCTCGACTTCCAGTGAGAATCGTAGTGGCGTAATAGTGCGTATGTGGCCTATAAAATGAATTGTGGTAGCCAGTCGATGTAGAAGTCAGTGTTTTTATCCTCTCAGACGAGTCTGGTACCAATTCATCGACCTTAGAGGGATGTAAGGCTTGTTTGACTTGGGCGGATATCAATCTGTGATCCGAACGCGTAAACAAGTGTGATAATGAGCCACTTGCTACTACATCTCCGCCGTATTAAACTTTTTATACCATCCACTTCTTTATACCATAAGCTCCCCTCTAAGTAACTAAATGTGATTTTGATAATAATGTATTCCTCTTTACCACTCAGTACTTTATAAAGGCCAATCAGTAGTTTCTGATCTGAGCAACGACAACAACACCATAAAAACACAACATTATCCCTCCAATTAGATGAGTTTCTGCCTTCAATGGGGGCAACAGTCCGGCACCAAAGAAAAGCAGTTATCAAAACATTGAATTCACTTAACTACAGTGTTGTAACTAGTACAAGGGTGGGGCAAGTACTAACAACAACTAGAATCGGACGCGGTCACGAAACGGAAAAAAGGAAATGTTCCGTTGTACATCAATAAAGAAGCAATGTTGGAAGACAGTGAAGCCCAGAATGTCAGTCGTTTGCATGACAATAAAAGTCATGAAAAACAACAGCTATCAAGTATTCCACGAAATCAACCACAGAAAAACTACGAAAGTAAGGCCATTACTGCCCCTACCAACTTTTAAATTAGCTTTTTGACGTGGAATGAGGTGTGCTGCGTGTGACTGCACTGCGATTAGGCGGCGTTACCTTACGGCTAGAATTACCGTAGGGGGTCTGGCATTTGGTTCGTTTTAATTTTTTCAATATGGAGACAATTTCGAGGCAGTTTCCGAGGCATTTAACGGTGAACATGAAGTCGTGGCGGGGGCACCCAATTTCCTTCGAAATTGAGCGCTGGAACGCAGGGAGGGAGGTGTAGCCAATTTCGTGAGCCTATAATGGTACATAGAAGAAGTTCAAAGCCGAGTAAATATTGTTTTTCAACATAAGCCTCAGAAAAGAAAGGAGCATCTGAGTGGGTGAGCCACTTGAAGTTCAATTCCTAGCCATTCCAAGCGAGATAATCATCTCACCCTCCCTGGCGCTCCTCCCCACCTAAGACCTTGGTAAGAACTAACCTGCCCGGGTAGGAACCGTCTCTGAGCATAGGTGAAGTTGGCTGTCTCTNCCCCCCCCCCCCCCCTTCCAATTGTATTTTCACCCAATTAACGAAACAACGTAGAGCCATCATACACACAGCCCACCATAAGGTGGTTTAGGCAGGCCTAGAGAGAAGTTCAGAAGAGAGTTAGAGAGTGTAGCGTAGAGGCCCAAAGAGAAGCCGATAGGGGAGAAGTTAAATAGGCCTTCAGCCGAAATAACTTCAACATCTCGCCACTCCATCATCAGAACAAGAATGTTTATAGGAATATGCAAATGTGATGTGATTTCAAGGGTTGGGGCGAATTTGATAATTTTGATGGAAAATTGAATTTGTGGAAGGAAACGCAATCAAAAGTCAGCCCTGCTGCAGTTGTTACATATGCAGATGTGCATGCTTTTTTCCAAACAACTAGGGTGATGACTGGGTTGTACCTTACAATGATG